TTAAGCTTCTACTACTAAAGTTATATATCTACCCCCCAAAGCTAATATTAGGTCCAAGGTCCTAGCTAGTCCTGGGCCGAGATAAGACCTCTAGGGCATAGCCTATTACATACCCCCCTACTCTACCCTCCTAAGGGTTATTCTATGGTAGGAGGTAGTCCCTTTATATTATAGGCTTATATAGGCCTGTCTATTTAGGCCTCTAGATTTACTTCCTTACTCTAAAGTTATAGTTTATTATGGGGAGAGACCCGCTCCTATACTTTAGGCGTGGGAAGTAGTCTTCTTAAGGTTATAGGGTCTGGTTCTCCCTAGGATATCTCGTATAGTATAAATCTATAGGGTAGGGAGTAGGGAGCTGTAACGGAGTATATTAGCCTGCGTGAAAGTTCCCTCAACATGTTCCCACACTAGTGAATTGGGCTTAAGCTGCGCGATCTCATGCTTCTCTTGCCACTGCTGACCGTTCGCCATCTTTGAGGTTTCAATGGAGATTGTAGAAATTGGACTTATAACGGCCAGTGTTATTTCTCTAAGGGTTGGAGAAAGAAAACAGGTTTCTGCTGAATAGATACCAGCGTCTTTGGGAAGGCTTTTAAGTTTATATAGGCGATGGGCAGAGTGTAATGTGGATGCACAGGCCTCGCGGAAGGAAAGATTTAAGCATTGTACAAAAGCATCAATAAAGGTTTAGTGCTAGGCCTCATAGCTTTTCGCCACATTCACTCACAATATCCTTACAAGGTACTAAAATCCTTAGATCTTGTAAAGGAAGGTAAGATGTTAACTAAGAACCAGGCGAGAGGAGTTTATACGCTCTATCTTAATTGGGTGTATGTCTCTGCTTTACTGGGTACATCATAGGGGTATTGTCACGAGAGCAACGAGTAGAGACGTCTGCGACCTAGTAGTAGGCTGCAAATGGATATTACTGCGTTCGGTATCTATGTGTATGTACAAGACGTTGGATAAGGAGAGAAGGTCCTCTTCCCCTTAGCCAACGTGGATCTATCATCTCGCTTCGTCGCGTGCCCTTACCAAGGGTAGCTAGCGCCATGGTTCGACCTCAGCTAGTAGACGGGTCACCCGTATGCTGTTCTATTGGCTGGTCGTCAACGCGCGATATCTCTGAGATATACTACTGCCAGCAGTATATCCATGCTTGTCAGATAGCCTGGGGTTACCGTGACAGGTATAGCGACGACTGATTTCTCCGCCCTGACCTCTCCGCGGATGAGACCACGTAACACCTTCAATCTTCCACCATTTCTATCAATGGAAGCGCTTCTTTATCCAGATCCACGAGCTGTTCTCATAACTTATGATCCGACTTGCGACCTCTATGTCCATGACAGTGGATAACAGTGTCACTCTCATGAGACTAAGCAAGTGGTTTCTTAAAGCAAGGGGATTCTTAGGGTAAGGGCGTTGGCTGTGAACAAGTACACGCAGTCAATGTAAAGCCTGAAAAGAGCCTGGTGTGAGTCAGTATAGAGGACTGTCGACGGAGCAAGACATTCGGGGGAATAGCCTCATGAGGCATTCCATTCCAACATGGGGTATCGATGAAGTTGACGCGCGTAACATGCGCGTCGAACCTAGGATCGAAAGCGTGACCTCGTATGGTTCCAACAACCCCTTAGAACAGTTACTAGGAAGCGAAGGTACAAGCTGCACTGCACCGTACTCCTAGTTCTTAGCATCTCTTTGCTATGGATAGTAGCAGTATAGTTTACCAAGTGTCCCCACAGACGCCTCTTTACCCTTGCTCCTGTGAGAGGAAGATTGTACCGTCCCTGCCCTGTAATTCCAGCCCAATGATGTAACGTTCGCTACCATGCTTGCCTGGACCGCATATTCGACCTAGTAGGGATGACCTCGGTCTGAGGAGGCATTGATGTGTCGGGCGCAGCCTGCCATGATGGTGGCGGCGTGGTTGTGTATATGTCGCGGGGTCAAGCAGTCCTCGCGGGTGTAGTACTCGATGAAGCAGAAGCCAGAGGGCGTCTTCTGGGAGCGGTCGAGGCCCATGACGCCGCGCCGGAAGCTTGAGGAAATTGGGCCTCAGCGCGCCGGGAGCGGGCGGTCTTGGTGAGAGTGAATGACAACTTCGTCCCCTCGGTGCCAAGCTTCTTCGCCGGCTCCTTCAGCCACAAACGTGGGGCTTCGTGGCGCGGTGGGCGGCGGGCGGGGGTCGCCACTACAGATGAATCCATGTTAGCAATGACGGTGAAGCATATAAAAGTAGGGATTTGGACATGGCTATGTAGACGGAGTGGTGTGGAGGTAATAATGCAGACGCATTCGAGCCCTGTTTTCCAGCCATGGAGATCTCAGCGAAACCGCCTCCTATGCTAGGACAGGAGGGTCGGGAGCATGGTCTTACGGAGGAAGCTCTCGTCCGACGTCTTGACGACGCGACCCGTCTCCGGCCCTCGGCTCTGCAGCCAGCCGCCGAGAGATGTGCGTTCGGCCCGGGCTTTGGGCGCGGGCGTCTCCAGCATCGTCCTCAGGGGTGCACGAGTTGGGATCTTGGAGGGACCCTTTGGCCCTGCGGCTGACGACACGGTCGGGCTTGCGAACGGATCTCGTCTTATAATGCTTCGGCTGAGGTTCGACGCCGGCGGCTTCGCCCTGGCAGGCGTCTTGGGCACCGAAGCAGTCCACCATAGCGCGTCCTCGCCGCGCCAGAAGACGACCGTGCTGCGATCCATGCTGCAGACTGGGTCGACGACTGGAGTTTCGAAGTGCGGAAACTCTCGATGAGCAGACGGCATCTCGCTCTTTGTGATGAGCCGACAAGGGATCGGGATCAGCTAAGTGAGGTGAGCTCTCGGCTGGGAACGGTGACGACATCGCCCACCAGCCAAGCACGGCACCCTCGACATCATCTCACCGCCGCCAGCTGCACTGCAAGCGCTTGCACCATACGAATGCGGGCTCCCGCGCTCTGTAAATGCCTTGTTGAAGCCGCCCAGTCAATGCGGATCTCTCAGCGGCTGTGACGCGTGCTGCCGTGGTCGTGTTTGCCAGTGTGTTTGCTCGCCTCGTTGCGTGCAACCCCCGCTTGCCGCTGAGCGCAGCTTCTCGTCTCCGCCCAGATTGACCGCGACCCGGCCAGTCCCCGATCCAGACAGCAACACCGCACCAGTCCAGCACCGAACGCCATCATGGAACGTCGAATGGGCGAAGCTAAGTGACTGCCCGGTCGCTGTGCGCGGATGGGTATGCTGACTCTCATGCAGCCCTGGACGCGTCGACGCTCCACGGGACAAAGCGTCAGCGGGGCACCAGCCCTGGGGACGAAGAGCACAACCCGCCGCAGAACAAGAAATCCGGTCCCAAGCGAATGCACAGAACGAGCAGCACTCTGGAGGGCCACCGCCACAGGTCGCCAGCCGATGGATTTCCGCACAAGCGACTGTCACTCCGTCTAGTCAACCGAGGTGACGAACCCGAGCGTGTCGACCCTCCCGACGAGGCATCACGACACCCTCGTGCCCAATCCAGGTGCACCGTAAGCAACAAGCCTGCCAAGGACAACGGCGCGTCCTCTCCAAAGCGCAAGCGATTCCGCATCCTCAACAAACGTGACAAATCCAAGCCTTCCGCGTACCCCGACGACGACGACGAGGACCTCACCATGGTACTGGACAAGGCTCCCTCACAGAGGAAGCATGAACTGGTTGCCAGGATGATGCGGTTGAAGAAATGTGGGTGGAAGCCCAAGCCCATACGTGGCGGGTATGTTCACGCTCTCTCGAAATGTCCCCGTCTGCTGACCTCTGACAGTGCAGCCACTTCATCACCTCTAACGAGCCATTCACGCCCACCCACACCTACAGCGCTGGTCTTGGATGCCTTTTCGAAGCGAGCCGAGATTACCGTCGATGCCTTCCTCGCTACCCTGGCCAAGATCCCGCCCGCGGCCCAGAAGACTTTCGCCGACATCCAACTACAGTTCGCGCCTGCCCTTGACCACATCGACGTGCAGGCCCTGCGAGATATGAGTTTCGACGAGAAGGCAAAGCTCTTGAGCGGCATGGACTTGGATTTGGATGTACATCCAAGGGGTGAGCGGGACATTGCACTGCTCGAGCTATACATTGGTGAGGGATGGGCGGCAGACATGGCAAGAAACCCCGAAACGTACCCGCCGTTGGTCTACCAGCGATTGTACTGCTTCGCCCGGGACAAGGTAGATGCGTAGATTGGAGGACAGCGTCAGGAATATGCAGAGCAGCAGGTGGACCGACTGTTGTGTGCGGAACACATGCTCTTCTGATGCTTGGCATTGGGATGCGCTTGCTTGCTATCGGGCTGGATAAGACTCTTCGTCCTGGGTTCAGCCGGGTTCATGAGCTGTACTCTTGTCATCGGAGGTTACTTAGCTGGTTGCATACGACGGAGGGGGTGTTTAGTACACAACTGGCAAAGTACCAAAAACGATGGTAATCGGATGCTGCTATAGATGGGTAGTAGTAACGCTGTCAAACAGTCCCGCTAGCCCCGCGCTTATCTCAGCAAGCATCTTCACAGATGGAGCGACCGCTCCCTAACCTTCCATCAGCTCGACTAGAAGCTAGGTGAAGCAACTCATTTCAGTCAATTGTGTTGGCGTCTACCGCCCAACTCCTCTTACTCTACTTATTGGCTTCCCTTGTCGCTTTACCGTAAGTCGACCCATCTCTCGGTGAAAGTACCTCAACCTATCCGCTCACTCACACTTCTCATCAGTGCTTCTCACCAACCATCCAGTCCCAAGGCTATATATCTCGCCCTCCGCTCTCTCTTTCTTTTCGTCTTTTCGTCTTTTCGTCTTTTCGTCTTTTCGTCTTTTCGTCTTTTCGTCTTTTCACATTCTGGACTCGGCTTACCAAAGGTCCTTGCCTTTGATACGCTGTCGACTTAGTAGTGGCTTTATTGAGTTCTCAGGTGCTGCTGGGGACGTGAGGAAGGTGATTCACTGTGATAGAGGATGCGCACGTGGAGGGCCTTACGGAGAGCTATTGTAAGGGCTTGGGGCGTTTTCTTGGACGAGGGTGGGCGGACTTGACAAAGGTACTCACTGCCGTATCGTTGGCCCTTTTATCTAATGTGCCAGCTCTACGGACACGAGAAACTCTCCCAATTATCTTTCTCATTTACTGGCCCGATGTAAACCTCAAGGGAAGGATCTATAACGCAGTCCGTACCCGCGCGCGAGGAATATAGGCTACCGATCCCATTAGGCTCGTCAACACGCACGCTGGCTCTACCGCGCTGTTAGGGAAGAAACTGAACTAGTTCGAGCTCCAGACGCCCTCACCTTTCTTATTTTCGAAGTGTGTAGATTGTGGGGTGCATGCATTGAGTATCGACCCCAAATCTTTTCCTTGGAAAGTAATGGACTACATTTCGTAACTTCTAAGCCGGACTCTGTCATGACTCTGGTCCATGATGAGTTTTGATGCTGCTAAAGTTAGCGCGAAGCTACGTACAAGAGCATGTAAGATGTAAGGCGGTCTAATGTTGATAGAAAAAATAGTCGGGCGTCGGGGAGCCCTCTGCTACGGATTGCTGAGCACGGCTATAGCAAGTAGTAGCCAGCAGTGATGACCAGGTATGGAGGGCACACCATCATGGTGCAATAATAGAAGGCAATCGTAGTATCGTTAGAAAACGTTCAACAGGTCTCTTGATTATGATTCTCGCTAGGATACGCCGAATGGCCCGAATACATTCAGCTGTTACAGGCACTTCTCATATGTTATTAGAACCACAAGTCAATCTCCAAATAATGCACTCTAGCTCCGTCGCTCCTGCACGTCTGCTGAAACGGCTATCCCACGTTGCTTTCGATATTAGTCTTCTTGTTGAGTAGAACCGCAGTTATGCCGTCGCTGATCTCGTGAATAGTGTCGATTCGATTGGGCGACGCGTCGCTGCGCCTTGTATATTTTGGCACCATTCCCTACTAGGCTGGCCCTTGAGCTTGAAAATATAAATCCGCAAGCTCGCTGAACGGCCATTTGCTGTCAGCAAGCCTCAAAATCTCCACGGTGGCAGCGCGTTGCTCTTGGACGTCCTTCTTCTCCTCTTCCACCTTGTTGAGCTCAACCCGTTTCGCATCGAGTGCTGCCGAAGCGCTGTTCAAGTTTCCTTGCAGGTCGTGGGCGGTTTCCAGAATCTTCTCTTGCTTCTGCTCAACCTCGGCCCATTGGTCTGTGTGCATCGAGGGGGGGAATAGGTTCGTAATGCCAGCCTGCGCCGCGATGTTGCTGGCATCCCTAAGACTGGCATCAAATCTTTTACGGAAATTTCGAGTGCTCGCCAGACGCTCCTTGGAGCTGGCGAGGAAGTCGTCAAGAGTCTCCTCGGACGTAACGAGTTTGGAGACTGCCTTCTCCACCTTTTTGAGCTCCGCTTCGGCATTAGCTAGAGCTTTGCGAGCCCCCAGATTCCTGCCCTGAAGCTCGTCCTCACTCTGCGTGAGCTGGCAAATGAAATGAAGCACGTCAAGCGCAGGTTTCGGTGCCCGTTGTATGGCGTTGCGCATCTTCTGTCTCGCTTCCTCGCGCCTTCCCGCAGCCGGACTCTCACATTGCGAGTTGGGAGACGATTGGGGCTGCCTCTGCATGGCGTGTCCTGGGCTATTGCGGCGCACAGGAGTGGCTCCATACGATGGACGCTCAACCGTATGCGCGCCGTCCGGGCGATCGTTCTCTCTGGTAAGAATATCGTCGACTTGCTGATATATGTTGAGGCTGGACCGACGAGTCGCTGCGGAGATGTCGGAGCCCTGATCGATGTTCACGGTAATCGATACTCCAGACGGGCTTTGCGGCGGCAGAGGTAAGAGTGAGACTCGAGGCTCCTCGCTATGAACGTCGGGGATCAAAGCGCGCGATCGGTTTGATGACGGCAAAGGAGAAGGGGCGACTGGAGGCGTCTCGGTGCGTACGTCGGGGTTCGGAATGCGAGGTGGGCTTGACGCCAGCAGAGGTGAAGGCGCGGCTCGCGGTCTCTCAATTTCAACGTCGGAGTCCCCGTTGGGTTCGGGCAAAACGTCAACGCTCCCATGCGCCTCCGTCTTCCTCCGCTTCCGTCTAGAAGCCCTAGCCGACACCCTTGCGACTGGCTTCTGCGCTAGGATGGCGGGCTCGATCTCTTTCCTGAAATACGCCTTCAGGTCGGACGTAATGACGCTGTGCTTGCCGTCGCACTGCAAGAAGACGGGGCGGTTCGGTTGTCGAAGCTGGGGTAATCGATTGTAGTACAGCTCGGGAAGCTTCTGGGTGACCTCGTCGAGCGTGCTGTGTGCGGCGACTCGGCGAAATTGCTCGACGAAGTCTCTGCCTGGCCGGCTCGGGAGGGGAAGGCTCTCACGGAGCGAGTCCAGCGCGGACTTGCCCCAGCTCTGGTATATGTCGGCAATGGCTGTGAGCTTTCTGCTCTCCGTCACAAGGTCGACATCGACCGGTGCCGTTCGCTTTGCCAAAGTGGCTACCTTGAGCCGGGCGAGGTGGTGCACTCCCCACCAGGCTGCAGCAACCCAGAATTCCTCGCGCTCGCCGACGGTGGCGCTCTCGCGAAGCGGCTTCAGGCGGTCCAGATGCTCACTAAACGCTTCCCTTGCCGCTGCTGTGTCTTTCGCACGGATGCTGGCTTCGAGGGATTGGGTGAGAGAATCGACCAGCTGGGCCACAGGTGAAAGGTCAGACTGGACGGGAGGCATGACGTCGCTTTCGGTCGATGCTTGGGTGGAAGGCGGTGCTTATCGCGGAGCACGACGGTCTTGGCAATCTGCCCGCTACGTTCCCTCGATGGTGATCGGGAGTGCGTGCACTCTTCAGCGCCCGAAGATGCGCGTTGCAGCCAACAAGGCACGGCGTGGCGAGGTCACGACGGGCGAGCCATCGCCGGCTGCACCGCTGCGCGAGACAAGAGGCGGAGGGGTCGAAGTACTCGCCGTTGCGCAGGGAACGTGGCGGCGGAAGTCGCAGTCGAGGCGAGGAAATCACGAGGGACGCAGCTTGCGCCTGCTGGCGTACGATCCCTAGAGCTTTGTTGGTCGAAAATAATACTCTTTGCAGCAACAAGAAGTTCTCCACTGTTCCAGAACACAGGATGAGGGGTGTGCGGCGCGGGGACGACGGGCATGCTAACGAGGGTTATGATTGTGGCCGCGCGAGCTGACAAATCTCCCCACTGTTCCTTCCGAATTGGGCGGGCAGGGCGCAACGAAATGATATTTTCCAAGTGTCCAACGGACGGAGGGATGACAAGACTATAGAAAGCAGAAGCTATCAAGACACTCGAAACGAGTAAACGCCCTCAAGACTTACGCCTCCTCATTGTTCTGCTTTTCAATAGCGACGGTGGATGCGTCAACGGTTTGCGTACCTTGTGCAGCGCGCGGGACATGAATTGCATGTAGCGACCTATACGTCGTTGGAATTTCACGACATGTGAAATCAAGCTTTATGCTAATATAGCGCCGGTCGCTTGACTCCGAGTGGTGATGGTGTGGGCCGGCGGCGGTGGTACTGGCACCGAGGGAGCCAAGCTAGCGACTCGCTAGCGAGTGAGGCCCCGCGTCATGCGACGTAAACACCACCAAGCCCCCCAGTGCCATCTTCCGATCCCACGCGCAGCCAGCCCTGGGTCGCGGAGCCGCTTCGCAACTTCAATCCATACGTTACGAGGCAGCTTCTGCGTCCGGCCCAAGAGACTCTCGTCTCCGCACAAGTCGATGGTGGACAGTGCCTAGCGAACTGCCACGCCCGTGCCCGTCTTCGTGCTCCACCTGAGAGGTCCCACCTAAATGTTAACCGCTTAGCCACTTTGGGGGAAGTCTGAGAGTTTGACAGGGCGCATGCATGCGCTGAAGACACGGTGGTATGGTTTGGGGCTACGTGTGGCCCACGCCCCCAGAGAGTAGTATGTAAAACCGTCCTCCTGACCGCAAAGAATTTCGCCAAACATCGCAGCGCGTTTTCCAAGTCTTCCTGCACTTTTGGCGAGCTCCACACGGCTCCAGGCGCTCTCCCACCGCACTACTCCACGTCCTCTGTCAACCCTTTCAAACTGAAACATTGACCGATCCCGACCCTAGCGCCCGTATCAAGTGCGACCGAAGAGCTTTAGTGCGTCCTGATTGCTCCATCTCCGATTTGGCGCAAACTCCATCGCCATCGGCTTGGCGATTGGCTGTCAGACGTGTTGCTCGAACCTTTTCGACGTCTGATAGAAAACGTCTAGAAAACCAACGTCAAGGGAGGCAAAACCACGGTCTCCGCGCTGAACGCATCGACTGGGCTGTCTCGAGCATACCCAGAGTGTCCGCATCTGAGTCCTCCACCAATATCACTTCGAGGACATCTATCAAAGCCAACACTAAGCATGTGCTACCACTCCACATTTACATTATTATGTACATGACCGTGGTACTATCAAAGCCTGTTTATCCATGATACCTTCTCGGCGACCTAATTTTGACAAGTCAAAATCGATCTACCCCGCTCGCCTGGACGGACTATCAACATCTAGACTGGCTGCCACTCGTCAGCCTTTGCCAGTCCCTTGTGCAAAAAGCTCTCTCCATGGCCTAAATCCATGGATATTCTGCCTTGTTCGTATTTATGCTCGTATTAAGCCGTTTTATGCACAAATGACATCCTACCGTTCCCTAGACTATCAAGAACGCCAACGGCCTGTGCTCGGGAACTGTGAAAACATAGCATGGCGATGATCACGAGGGCGACGACGAATAGGTCAGCGATGAAAATGACGCCCCTATTGAGTCGGGTTTCTGCGACTCGATGTTTCTATCAAGAATGTCCTCCTCAGATCCGTGGCAGAACCTACCACGCCTGGGTCCATTCGAGTACTTCTTAGCACATCCAGTAAAATCTAGCTCGTTTTCGCTGCAATATCTCATGGGCAAACAAGGGTAGGCATACTGGTAAGATGTCATCTACTTTGTAGCACCTCGCACGAGTAAGTGTATGCGCTTCGGGGCTCGTTTCACCATATTGTGTCTCGTATACCGCACCGGTCTGGTGCCACACAAGAGGTCTCGTTGTGATGACCTATCACTGGTTCTATAGTCTCTTCACAATTACTATTATTGCTGTTTACTCTTTCTTCGTAGTTGTGTACTTTGTTTATACTTGGCAATTATTTACGTATGCCCAAAGTTGGTGTTTGTTCACGTTTACTTATTTTTGGTATTTGTTACATTTACTTATACTTTGTATCTGTTTATATATACCTGCTGCCTGCCCTATCTACGATTCATCATCGGATATCTGCAGACCTAAGAAGTCCAGTGGTTCGAACACAGATTATCCCTCGCGTCCAATCAATGGAGGAAGACCAACCAAAAGCCCGGGTCGAAGACCAACATGCGACCGAGAACTTTCGTGAAGTACAGCTGCAGAATACTATTAGTCCCAATGTGAGGGTATTGATAGCCAAGAGCAATTCGCATCTCGCTAACGTGCGTAATGTAGTCTCCATCCACGATTGAGGAAGACGAGGGACACCCACTTTCCTCCGAGCAGCAAGACGGAGCCGTGCAGCCCGATCCGGTGCACAGAAACTGCGGCCCCATGCCCGGCATATGGGCCTCCTCCTCCCCGCTCAGTCCTACGCCAGCACCGACAGAGCCCAACGAAAACGGAAAGCGACCTCTATCACCCACTTCTGACAGCGAAGACAGCGCGCCTGATAACAAGAGGCAGAAGACACAACCTAGCGACAAGAAGGTGGATCTGGGGCTGCAGTGGGGCAAGGGGGTGAAACGCTGGGTACGTAGATTCTTGGGTGCTGGGTCCGAGGGCGATGAGAGGCAACTGGAGGCCAAGCGGGCCGAGGGAGTTGTTGAGCCGGTTCGCGGAGACCCCGGAGGACAGGACGTCGGACCGACGGATGGACGAAGCACCGGAACACCATCTGAAGAAGCAAGTAGTTTGAGTATTGAAGAGGGCGTTCCAGTAACTCGCGACATGAAGGGCGCTGGCGGAAAGAACATAGACAGTGCTAGCGAATCCTCCTTTGATGGGATTCGCAATGGAAACAACGAAATGCAGGACGAGATACAGGAAGAGTCTAGTTGGGAGGAGGATAGCGAGGATGGAGACGTCGTAGAGGATGGAGACGTCGTAGAGGATGGAGACGTCGTAGAGGATGGAGACGTCGTAGAGGATGGAGACGTCGTAGAGGATGAAGACTCCGAGTGAGAATGAGTGTGGAGTGGCGTGAAGTAAAGCCCAGACATGTAAATCTCTCTACCATGGTGGGAAGTCATACATGGATGCCAAACTAGAACCGTAACCCTGGCCTGTGTGGAAAGGGATGTAGACGTTATTATGCCTGATTTCTTGCTCGTAAAGTTACCAAACTTAAAGACTACGCCAGCCTTCCAGTAACGCGCCTCAGGCTTGGTAGTCCTAGTCAGCTCGTTTGTAGTCCCGTTCTTGCCCGTAAGAATGGGAAAAACCATCTCAATCTGAGATAAAGTGAAAGGAGTCAAGCCTCCAAAGGTAGGGAAGGGGTTCTTGTCAGTAGACAATGCAGTTCCAGCACTACTCTTCTTCTTGGACTTAGGAGTGGCCCTGTTCATGTCCTTCACCTTTTCGCTGGGCTTCACCCTACCTGGCCTTTGCTTCTGGACACCGCGGCTCATGGTTGTCTCTGATGATGGTGTGAGGCTATCGTTGGAATTGGGAGAGAGTTCTCGTTGGAACGAGTTAACCTATTGTGGTGGTTTGAGTTATGTACTGTAAAAGCACACTATTGTAATATATATACCTTTAAGCGTTGGCAGAATGAAGGCTATATAATTCAAGGTTGCATTGTGCAGCTTCATTTTGGATAAAAGAGTGCGTGAAAGAATAGAACACATATATATATTGCTCACAGAGGGGTGATAGGAAAATTAGGCAAAAAACTATATCTGGACAAACGGGTGCCTTCTAGGTCTGCATCTAGAGTTTGTTTAGAACTGTCTCATGGTATCCCAGATGTGATGAGTCAACACCTGGTTCATTGTTTACGACAATGGTGATAGTCTCATCACCTGCAAAACACATCCACTTGCAAACATAGTTCCATTCTAAGACTTAATCGGCCAGGCCTACGAGGTTGTGATTTCCCTCCTTGCCTACTTGTTGGAAAACGATAAAAATACGAGATAAACGAAGATGCCATGTTCGTGTACAGAACCACGAATCCAAACTTGCTCAACTACACTATCTATCACGTTCTGCAGACCATCTCTTCACGTCCGTTCGGGGATTCATCTTCTATGTATGATACAGGATCCCTAGCTCATGCAGCCTAGATGAAATCGAACGTGACATCCCGAGCTAAGTTGCAGCTCTCACAGCAATAACGCACGCAGGAAATGTATGCATGACACGGATGAATGGGGCGAGAAGGAGAATCGGTGGGCAACGCGGAAGCTGTCTTGCCTTGCTAACGTGCTTCTTGAGATGGTTGCCTTGTGCAGTCTCGCCGTTACGCGCTGGTTACTGTGGCAGGCCATACGCCATGGCTCTATTCGAGGTCTTTGGCATCGATGGGACGGTCTTTTTTGCAGGTGGAGAATTGGGATAGCCGCAGTCCAGTACCCATCTGTCTGTGCCAGCGTTTGTCTCAGTGACCACCATCTCAGCTTACCCATCCCGTCTCTCAAATGTCAAGCTAATCGGCTCCATCAACATGCTCATCCCGGAGTGATAAATTTAAACAGATCGTGCGTTTCGCCAAAGAGAAGCGAAGCCTGCCTACTAGCGCCTAATCCTGGGTGTCGACGTTAGTAGCGCCTTTGTGCCGTCAATCAATTGCACGCATGTGGGGACATGAATCACAACCAGGGCGCTTCAATCAATCTGCCAGGGATTCCTCTCCATGCGGTCTCACTAAAACTCATAGTGAGACGGACGCATTACTGGGTAAGATCTGTTCCCATCTAATGGGAGAAGATGTCGGAGTCCTGGCCCACACACATCACTGCAACTTTTCAACGTCTAATCACTATTGAGAGCCAAAATGCATGCATTGCTGCAGAGAATGAGTCACCTCACACGTGCGATGAGTCCTTCGTATGTCTGATCGATCCCGCCTGCCAAGCAAGCGTCGACTACATCTGCGGTGTCCCTATCCACCATCTGCACGACGACAGCACCGCGTCGCCATGGGCAGAACGAAACGGTCACAACTCTCAAAGGAACGGACTTGGCTAAGTTGACAACAGCCTCAGCAACTCTGCGATCTCTGCTGTCTGGACTTCTCAAGGCCACAACATCGCCCTGCCGCAGCTCCGCAGCGCTGCCATGTAGTACCGATTCGTCGGCTTGCACGAAGAAATGCAGCGTCCGCAAATTCCGACATGAATCCATCAAGCGCTTCAGGTCCTCGGCTTCCCTTGCCAATGACCGACCTTGAGTTCCTGTTACACTAACCGATAGCTGCACATGAACTAGACTTCTGAGCAGCGGGCCTGGGTTTCCCGTCATGATCATCTGCGCAGCGCCATAGCCGAATTCCAGTCTGCTCGCGGACCCTCGAATGTCGCTTAGATTTAACACGACCACGTTCGTTTCGAGATACTCGTGTCGAGCGATTCTGTAAAGTCTCTTGCAGCAACGAAAGGGTCGTAAGAGACGACGGAACTCCCTGGAGATCTGCCCTGCAATCACGCCTCACGGGTGCTGGAGGGTTTGAGGTAGGTTCTGCTGGTGGTGCTCGTGGACCATTCCGTGGCTGCAGATTCGCGAGAGGAGCTCATCGGAGAGGTCTAAGAGCTTGGTCGGCATAATGCGTTGATGCTTCAAAGTGGGGAATGGTACTGTCGTGGTAGGGCTGGCAGTGTCTATATTTAGCTTGCCGAGGCTATATCGATGACGTCATCGACGATGACATCATTCCTCGTAGCTCTGTTCCCTCACGGCAATCTACTAATTGTCCCAGGCTATCACCTCATCAGCATACGTTGTCGGCACTAGCCATGGTGGAGTTCTAAATTGTGATCCGTTCTCTATGTGATCCTGCCAATACACTGCTAAAGTGCTGGTGCGGTGACAATCTTCAAACGCTCCCATCCTGCGTAGCTGCTGCGACAACTTCGCCGCATGGTGTACTTGATGACGAAGTTGTTACGTTGGTCTCTGCGCGGTTACTCGTTGAGACTGCACCGGTAGTTACAAGCTGGCATGATGTGTGTCCAGAAAATCGTCTTTGCCTTGAGCTTGATCTTCTCAGTCAGAAACTACGATTAATGAAGTTGTGATATTAACCACTTGTGAGACTGTACATGCTTAGCATAGATGTTCGCATTCTTTACCGATGCGGTGCCCCAACCATCAGCGAGCCGCCTGGCACCACTTATCATGCCATGAATTATGGGACACGACAATTTTCTCGAATCTCCTTCGGCGTAGGAAGGAGAAAGACGAGCGTAAGGATCCATAGGTCGATCACGACAGGCCCCGTGAAAGCGCATAGCACGTGAAAGCTGGCGTGGATGTAGTTACGGGTCGGCCGCCTCCAACAGGCTAGGTGCACCGATACCTAACAGCGCATGTCAATCAAAGCCGGAACGCTGCCCCTTTGGTGAGCTGGCATTAGCTGTGGATGATGACTGTCGCTCTCTTTGCTACAATCCCCAATAGCGGAACACCACTATCATTGTCTTCTGGGTGACTTCGCGCGAGAGGTCTCGAAGCTGATCGTCGTGATGCTGGGTCGTTGGCTCGGCCCCATCGATGTCTATTTTGATCCATCAAACCCCCACTAGACGGTTTGACAGCTGAGCAGACGTCTCCCTAATAACCGCGGTGGCGCGATGCAGACCACGCAGATGGTCCTCCGTTTTCTCAAACGCGCCTTGAACCGATGCCACCACTGACAGTTCCTTGAGCATGGCGTTTTTGGGACCCTTGAGCTCCGATGACATCGCTTGCTCGGCCGACGTCAATCCTGGCGTGGCGTTGCTGGTCTGCTCTCTCTTCTTTGAGGCTTTTCCTAAACTCATCGTGTCTTGGGGACTGGCCTGTGAGCTATGCTATAACTGGGCTCCCTTTGCGTTTTCGTGATCTGGCTGCACGGATCGAGCTGCTAGCCTCCCCAGCCGCTCACTGTAAGCCGGTATCGAACGCCTTGGCGGCCGCGGCAGCATGCTAACACAATTGCAATACCGCGAAACGGGTTTTGATGGGCATTTCCAGGATCTCTACGTCGATGGCACGGAGGCGTGAGAATCTAATCTGCCGACGCCAGCATCATTCACTTACTCAAGAAAAGTCTGCCCTACGCTTAGATTGTGTTGTTCGCCGTCGACATCTGCTTTATGCAAGTAAGGACCTGTGCGCGCTGGTTCCAGAGGCTCCCTACGTACCTCACCCCGGTCGTCGACTTGTAGACGACCAGGTGCTTTCTTCGGGAACTCGTCGGCTTCAGAAGCCTGCGACGAGTGTAAAAGGCAACTTTAAGTGCTTTACTGCTGTCACGCAGAGGATTGTAAGGATGTTTACCCACGCGCCGCCAAATGCAACAATGGTTGTGCATTGCGCGTGAGAGGGGCCGGGTCCTTATGCGCTGTGCCAAAGTGCCCCTGGTCGAGTTCTGCTGGTAGCTTTGATATGGAGGCGTGTTGCCTTTACGGGCGGGGTGGAGGGGCCGTTGGCAAGTGGAGATGACGCGTCAGCGTGCGCTACATCAGACCAGGCCAATGCGAGGGAGAACTAACACTCTGACGCAGCAACCCTCGGAACACCTGCACTAAGCTGTATGGGACCAAAGTTTCCCTGGAAGCCTTACGACCTTGCGCGCAGTTTCAGTGCTTCAAGTGCTGCAGGAATCAATTGCTCGCGCCAACCAGACGTTCCCATTTTGGTGGGCACCAACCAGGCCGTGCACCGTTCCCCATCCGACCCTAACACACTTCACTGGCATCGCAGCACCGTATCTTCCCTATTTTCTCCGTACTATTGGCACCACTATGCTAGCGGTACGAGCGATGACTCCGAACAATGAAAGGGTGTGAGTGCAGGGAAGGCAGTACATGACGAGCGGGCGCGTTGCAGGTTGAAAGTCATGGCAGGAAAGCATGTTCATATATAATTAAAGAAAATCGTTCCATTGGGGGAAATGTTGCTCGATGGTATGCAGCTTCTCCCTGCTACTTTCTGCGCCGAGAAAACGCTGACCGTGGCGCCTTTACCTACATACAAGCAGATGAAACTCGAAGCTAGCAGTTGACAGCGGGAAAAAACCGCATCTCGCACATTTTCTACATAGTCCCTTGTGCATGGGGTAAGGCCAGAACATTGCTCAAGGAGAAGAATACCGTTGCCCCGAACCTGCCAATACCAGTCCTATTAACAGCTTCACAATGTGCACGTGAAGATCATGCACAAGGACGTATAAGAACCCTAGTCAACCTTCCGCTTCATCGAGCGCTCCAGATCCTCATCCGTAAGGTCTTGTATTTCCACCGCCCTACTCTCCCGGATGGGTAGCAAAAGCAGACCGCGTGCAGAGCTGTGCAGACACGGGAGGCCCAAGAGGAGTTGCGATGGGGACGAACCAGCAGATGATCGTGGTGGTCTCCTCGTTGGTGGCAAGGATACGAACGTCGGGCTCAAAGATGTCAAATGGGTTGAGCTGGAGTTTCGTGATGCCACCTGACGATACGTGGCGATGTCAGAGCTGCTTCGATCAAAGTGAACCAAAGAGCAGCTTCTCACCTCGCGTGTTTTGAGTCGATTGAGATTGCAATGATGGCATGGCGGCCCGGGTGCGCCTCTCTGGCGATAAAAGCATCACCCTGGAGGAGAGCTTCGTTCTTGCGGCCAGTGTAGGTACCCGGGAAGCAGCGTCGCCCGCCAGAATCAATGGGCTGGAGGAATTTGATTTGTCGTATCCTGGAAGCATGAGCTTAGGGAAACGAGCAATCTGCTCTGAAATTGGTGCGTTGGCCGTGGATGTCAGGACTGGATTAAGGGACAGATCAGTAAGCCCGTTGTGATTACTTATAATCGACATACTGCAAATTCTTACCAATCTTGCGGTGTGTTAGGTCGCAAGCAATCGCTTTGACGGCCACAGAGTGGTCAACAATGGAAAAGATAATGCTGCGTTGCTGCAGCGCTATAGATTGCCCTAGGTTGGGAACAGAGTATTTTCCTTCCAAATGCGGCTGGAAGGCTTTTATGCCCATATTGGCGTGTCCGTCATGTTACTTGCTCTGGGATCTCATACTGCTCACTCATCCCGAACAATAAATCCCTCCTATATTACAGTCAAGGGTGCCGAGTTTCAAGCGCCCGGGCGTTTAGGGTTCTGCCTTTGGTCGTACCCCTATTGACATCTCGATCTTCGGCGTTCCAATCATGTTCCATCACTCTCACACCTCGTACCATTCAATTTTCTAAAGGATATAATTACTTCTTTCCGCAACAGGAGCGAGGCGAGTTTCAACATTTGAGCCTAAACCTTTGCGACCTTGCCATTGATTGTGTTCTATTAGCTCGCTCCACCGAATAAACCACAAAAGCACAATCCATTTACACGATCAGAGTCTTTCGAGTTTCGATATCGAAGCTATGCTACTGCTTGGTAATGCCGCTATAGCATCCTCTCGCTCCCGATGACCTAGAAGGCTTGGTGAGAGAAACTGCGCTGACTAAGTGTTATGCGATTAGCTGAAAGGATAGGCCAATGATGAAGGTCACGCTGAAGGAGTGAGACTTTTAGTCCTGAGGAATTCGTTTTGGCTCATCGTCGGAAGCCCATTCAGGAGCTGGGGTGGGGCCAGCGAAGCACCTCAAAACATCACACACGCCCCAAACTAATATCTTGGTAATGGAGTAGGTATGACGTCCAGGGAAATACGTTCAAAGCCGCTCTGGATGGATTTTGATGAGAGTTTAGGAAATGTTCACACTATGAACACAAGATCCCCCCAATATCGTAAACTGCTTCCACTGCATTCGCCTTCCTTTTGGAATCATTGGGTCAATCGTCATCCCTGTGTCGCGAATCTTATCCGTTCCCGAACATGACCCGAACGTGCATGTGATCATGTACCAGCACTGTGGCGCGAACCTGCCGCCCAAACCGCCCTCCAACGGTCAACACCGAATGAGCAATCAGCAATTTTGAATCCCGTCCATCTGGGCGAAGGGGACTGCGTTTTCACTATCAGAGGACGTCCTCCTGCCTGCTACCTTATCTGTTGGATTGAGGGCATGGAGATTGTAGGCAAAGTAGAGCCTATTACGTGGCGAAGCAGCTAGTGCTAGGCTGGCTCAGCAGGTAACATTGAATCCAGCACCGCCTGGGAAGAGAAAACATTTCAACCACCGAATACGCAGTTTCTAACTTCGGATTTCGAGTTGTAGCCCAGGCTATTGTCCTGGATTTCGAGTTGTAGCCCAGGCTATTGTCCTTCGCCGAAGGGAACGGCGTTAGGGCCTCTTTTCATGTCTGAGAGAGCAACAAAGTCAATGTCGTAGGCGGCTGGATGCCGTTGATAGAGAAGACGAGAAAAGGCCCCGGCTTGCCCTTTATTCACGCTCGGGACGCAAAATGCTGTTCACTTACTTACAAGGTAGAAGCTAACCGTGCAAGCCGCTTCCGACACAGCGGCTGGTAGGCAAAGTAGCAGTCAAAGCTGATAGACTAGCGGTATCGATCGCGCGCTTGCCTTTCCGGGGCTGCAAATAACAGCGGCTCAAGTAGGACAGCAGCCAGGCACCAGGGCTTCAAAGTCGCGGTCATTGTCTAGACCGCGGTTGGGATCCCAGTGTAGCTGTCCTCTGGTGCATCCCGAACCGTATCTCCTAGCGAGGTCCCTAGTGCTGTCCCGTTTAACGCTTTGCAGTACGCAATGTATACCCGACGCTTGCTACTCGGCGCTCGGTGGTATCAAGGGTATAAGTTTTAAACATTTGACTGCAAAGCACAGGCGAGGTGGCGGTCTGGAAACGGCGGTCGCCTCGCGTAGCCATACTTAATAGTTGTCATCGGGAGTGTGGGACGCGGTCAATCGTCATGGGCTTGCTCGCGATGTAGCTGGGCGTACTGTCGCAGGGAATACTGGCTCCTGTCTATGTGCCCGTAGGGGAATTCTCTCGTCGCCGTAGATGTGGTTTAACAGAACCTGACGGTACCCTACGGGTGGCCTTGATCCCGCTCAGAACGAACTAGGCAGGTGTCAAAGTAGGGAACTGCTATGCAAAACGAACGCGGACGTGAAGCTTTTTGACCTCTAGTGCGTGTTCTGGCCGCCCCAGCTTGATCCTATGTCGTAGTAGAGCCACATGGACGACGATGCGTTCCATATAGCCGGCTTGGGCGGGAGCGTTTCGCGAACAAGCGTGCCACGAAGTGTTCGGGAATCGTTCAAGGCGCTGGAGACGGCTGCATAGCTCCGCGCATGCTAAGAGATGTAGACGATTGACGCCGCTGGAGAGGTTGACGATGGAGCGCGAAATTGCAACCTGTGTGCGGGGGATGCCACGGCCGTTTGGGCGCCGGTTGCCTAGCCCCGCGCGTCGCTCGTTGTGCTCGGTGCCTGCGCAGCCCGCGCAATGGCACTGCTGTACTACTTCAGATCTTTTGCCTGCGCTGCGTGTGATAGTTATTGCCCCGTCTTAGATCTGTGCCGCTACCGACGCCAATCTCAGCCTCAGGTTCGCGCTCGAGCTGCAAGGCATTCGTCAGTTCCACCCACGCTGAAGTACCCACCTAGTAGACAAAACAGTAAGCTGGAGACATCGGCAGCAGCGGCACGCCTTCTTCAGCATGGGCTGTCGTCCCGTCGACTAGCACCGAACTACGGCCGTCGTCAACTCCATATTAGTCGTACCAATAACGCTTCGCAGCAATATCCTACACTTGCAGAGATGGGGGCACCTGCAGCGCCGACAGGTCGAACCGTACAATTGACTCTCCACGTCTCACTCTCCGGTACGCTAAACGCCCAGTTCCACTTTTTGACACCAACGGTCCAGCGCCATGGGATTGCATGTTTTGCTCGTTCCTCCGCAGTGATCTTACCATGGTCAGGCATATAAATGCCCGAATGGGTTATCGTTGTAAATACTTCTTTGATGACTTGCTCACCGCTAGGTTTCTTTTGCGAGGCAAACGCTCTTGGTAGATCAGGCGGGATTCCAGGTCCAATAGCCGGCTCCGTTTCTCTGTTTACTTCATCATCTTGAGCCGGCGAGCTCCTGTGCATTTCCTCTTTTCTTCTCATGCTCCCTAAATCTCGAACTTTACCTAAAGCTTATTACTCTGATCCTCCCTGTGCACCATAAACCGCCTCTTGCCTAAAATCACGACGAAGAGTCACCAATGGATCTCTCTACCATCCTCAACCCGATCAACTCCAAAACCAGCGACGCTCAAATTATCACAACATCAAGTCTCCAGACGGCGACGTTTGCGATGGAAGCACCGCGGCAAGCCTCCCACCTCGTACACACCGCACAGGACTATCACTCAGGTTCCCCACCAGCATCTGGTCCTGCACCCTACCACCCAGAACCACCTTCTCGCCATCCCCAACCAGCTTCTCGACCCCGTGTTAGCCTTGCCACGCTCCAACCGTACCTCACCTCCATTCCAGCGCTACCCGACCCCTTGGCAGAGGGACGAGCAAAATTGGAGCTCCCACACCCAGGGACAGGAGCTGCGTTGGCGGACTACGACTACCATTGTCCCTCCTGCATCGTGCCGTCTCCGCCTTGCATCGTCAATGGCTACGTGCCGTTGTACCGGACACGAGCATGGGCTGCATGTGATCGCTGCCACGGCAATCAGCCGCTCCTGAGCTCGAACCCGTTCAGCTACGAAAGCGGACTCGCCCGGTGCCGCGAGTCTGCAGCGCACCGGACCCTTGGACACAGCTCCGACTCTGCCTTGTCGGCCTATCAAGGGGACGCTATTATGCCCGCCCCGCCCGCGGCGTATCCCCCGCTGCCTGAGCATTTCCTTCACTCTGATGTGCGCCACACGCCTGGTTTGTACTTTGGCAGTGATGACGAAGGTGGGACCCAGGAGCAAGACCAACAGCGTGAGGAGCCGTCTCGGGATGGATGCGGCAACGCTGGAGCAGCAGGCGCTGGGGCAGCCATACCGCTAGAAGTGGTGGGTAATGTGACGTTCGGGCGGTGGGTCTCGAGGTACCAAGCGAAGGGTAGAGAAGAGCGTGAATTTGTTAGCATTGGCTGATGAATCTCTTCGCTTTTATCTGAGCTGGTGAGTTCTCATTTGGTTCTCACGTGAGAATCTGAAGTAGTGGAGGTATAATTCGCGTCTTATTGCGAGCTGGTCTGGTTTCATGCCGTGTGGTCTTCTTGTACACTACGGTGTGGGCTGAGTTATCTCGGTGTCGTGCGAGCGTGTACATTGACTGCATGGTGGAGTTTGTCGTCTTCCCTTGCGCCACGTGTTGTGACGTTAGGACTAAAAGTATAATTCAATCTAAATCATTTCAGAACTAAAAAAGGCTACTGAATGTATGCACGAGGTGGAGGACACGTAGGATAATTATTCAAGTAATGCACTTACATGGTTACGTACCAGACAGTTTCCCTACTTGGAGTAGGACGTCTCGTCTTTGTCTAGTCTTTAGAAATAGATTCTAGGTAATAAAACGACAGTAGTGTCGCTCGCCTTTGCATTCAAGGCTTTGGTATATAGTGGAACTTGCGTGTAGTAGTGAGTAGGCTGAGTTCTAATGGCCGTTGGATAGATATCTAATCTTATCGGCGCGGAATGCAGCGCAGCACATCAATAGAGACGTTTTCCTGGATGAAACATAGCCTCAGTGACGGTATCCTTAGTCTGGATGCCGCAGACACCACATTACCCACTCCTTCCCCGCGTCCGCGCCACTGGAAACCCTAGATGCCGTTTGACCCATATTTTGGGTGCTAGCAACGTATTAATGTTTCTATGACGGCAATACAGGGAAGATGGAATGTAGGGGCGAAGTAACGAGTGGAAATCTTTACGACAAATAAAAGCTCTAATAGGCCTGTTGGCTGTATGAACCGAGACACTAACACGATAATATTATTTCTTTTAGAAATCTAATAACGCAACGTTTGCTGTTCCCGAATCCATATAAGTTTGATTATTCTAGTCGTTATCAAGAAGATTAGCGTTGATAGAAGAAGAGATGTAGAATTGGGATAGTAAATTGTTAGGTAAGCCTCGTTTGCGCCATCACACCAGAAATGAAGATTTAGTCTTAATTCCCTTTTTTCCAAAGCCAGGATGGAAATAGGGATTTTCGGATTCTTTATATAATATATTACTTGCGATAGTTAAAGGTGATAAGCTTTATTCCCTAGTTAAGAGGGTTCTATGCGCGATATTAGGTGGGGAAAACTAGATTACTAGCTATTATGTTACAATGAAAATCGTCTTTCCCTAGATGTAGGATATCTATATGGAAAGACGGAGCTAGATATAGTATAGTGTTACGGCGACCACGCCGCACTAGAATTATAACAATAACAGCGTCAGCAGTAATAACTAATAGGATAATAATAATGTAAATTATGCTTATAGTTCTAATGTGGAATATAATATAAACACGTGAGAAGGTCACGTGATTAGATCTATAGATCTATAGATCTGTGGAAGACAGAGCCATAGAGCCAATAGAGCCAGGTTAGATAGCAGTATATAGAGATGACGGATTACCATAGTAATCTATTATTATTAATCCACGATATAGTTATTACATCTAGTTTCCTTACAGGAAAGATTACTTATGACGTTTTGGCAACACAACCTTACTATAGTTAATTAACACATTAACCTAACACAACTATACTACTTCCTAAAGCCCTTATTTCTTACTAGAACCCTATTTAAGGCTAGCTTAGCCCTAAGCTAAGTGACCCCTATTACACTTTAATAATTATATCTTAAGGATAACTATAGGTACGTACCTAGTTATACC